CGGCCTCCCGCACCCGCCCCGCCCCGCAGCTCCGCCCGCAGCTCCGGCCTCCGCGGCAGCTGCCCGCACTTCAAGCAGGTGCTTGCTGCAATGTCGCTCCCTGATGATGCGACCGGCTCCAGGAATGACGTAGCCAGAGCTGCTAGTGACAGGCCAGGGGCGGGCCAGGGCTGAGAGTGAGGGGCGGGCCCTGGGCTTGTGTGGGGCGGGGCGAGGGGCGGGGCCCGGTGGCCTTGTGCAACGTGGTAGATCTGAGTGTGTGTGTGTGTGAGAGAGAGAGAGAGAAATCTGGGGCGAAGGGTATAATCGGGATTTGTATTTCCTGGCTGGGAGGGGGTGTATGGTGCAGTCTGGGGACTGGTATCTCCTCCAGGTCTGTCTGTGTATAATATGGAAATTTGTACCTCTTCCAAGCTCAGCTGGGGCGAGGAGTCTGATCATACATGATCTGCCCTTTGATGACATTTGTAAGAGGATGCAAAATTGATTAGGATGAGGGCTGCCGAGATAGTGAATATCTTGGATGATTTCGATTTCTATAAGAGGAGCCCAGCCTCTATGGAAAATGTGGGATAGAAAAGGAAAAACAAAGAGCCAAAGATACAAAGCCTCAGTTAGGCAGAAGAAATGATTTTGGTTTTTTCTTTCCTTTGAAATATTGTACATATAGTACCTGATGTATACTGTACATTTAGTAAATAATAATACATTGTATTCTGAGATACTGAAATGTACATTTCAAATGTTCTCACCACAAAAAATCATGGTTTTTGAGGTAATGGTGTGTTAATAAAATCTTCACAAATCAAATTACTCATACTTTGTAACAGATTTGTCATTTTATAAGTAAAGCATATTTTTCAAACAGCTTAAAGTCTGTGCCAAAATTTGTCTCCCTTTAGCCATTTGAACAGAACACTGTGCAAGAAGAGACTCTTTGGCAATATTAATCATGCCACCGACAAAGCCAATGGCACATTTGCAATTTAAAAGGGAAATGATAACCTTTTGCTTGTACTCAGGCCACAAGCATCAAAGATGAACTAGGAACTGGGAAAACAAAGATGACTAAGACAATCTCTGTCCTCAAGCCTCTGCCAACAGCCCTTGTCCCCATTGCATGAATTAGCTCCCATCCTCTGCTCAAACCTTTGCGCGCCTCCACCCAATTAAAACCCATCCAAAGCTCTCTAGAGTACACATGTCTCAGTTTGAAACACAAGTCTGACACACAGGCTCCCATTTTTCTCACTCCTCTCCAGCAGGAGGCACTACACACAGTCACTCATACGTCTAACTTCTCTCATGTCATTCTCTCCCCAGATTGTAAAGCTCGTGAACTAGTTCCCCATGTCTTCCCTCCTATCTCCAGGCCTCAATTATCACACTTTCCTGTGAAATTTCACAGATAAGCTATGGCATCACATCATGAGTCTTTCTCAATCTGTGTCAGACTTTCACAGGATTACAAACTCATCTGCCAGGGACTTGTTTCAACCTAATTATCATTTCATTCCTTGATATAGTAAAGAGCTCAACAAATACTCCAGCTGAGAAACAACAAGAATTCCTTTTCTTGGACTTGCTACTTCTGTGTATGGGGGATACTTCTTTTTCCCCCAATGCAAATATCCTCTTCTTCTGAAAAATCCCAAACAATAGAAGTGAATATTCCTATTTTTTAAAAGACATTGACCCTCTCGAAGTCAAAGTCCCTGTCTTTACCTTAACAACAAGCCCATACCTAGTTCTAAATGACTATATATTGAGAAGAATAAAATAAATTACAATTCCAAACATTCCAAGGTATTTGTGTACAATTACTGGCTCCTAACAAAGAAAAAAAGATGGAGAGAAAAAAAATACAGAAAAAGCCTTAGGGTTTGAATCACTGCTACAGGGCCAGTAAAGAAATGGAGAAAAGTGAGTATCATAGAAATTTTTAAAAAGTAAGCTAGAGGGGAAAATTGTTTTACCATAAAAGTCAGATACAACTCTTCATTAACACTCACTGCACAAGGTTATGCCCCTGTAAATGTGGACTGATTGCATGCCAGGTATTTCATGTTGCTTAATGAAATTGTTTTGGAAACAGATGACACCTTGGTATTCTAAGTGACACCCTCAGTAATCTAAACAATAATTGCTAGCCAGCCAGTCTAGCCAACCAAGATGGAGCAGCAGGACTCAATTTACTGTCCTGCTTAAAGAAACTGAAAACAAACAGACAACTATAAAACAATGGCTTCCAAACATTAGATCATGTAGCTTGTCAAGACAGGAGTCCCAGGGAAAGGAAACAAATGAGCCCTGTAATTCTCTGAGTTTATCACCTAGAGTGGCCACACTGTAGCACAGAGAAAAACATAGAAATCTTCTGAGTTGAGGAGCTAAAACTGGAAGACCAGGAAGGCCAATACAGCTGGACTTGGAAATGAAGTTACAGAAATTAGGAAACCACACAGAGAGAGAAGGAAACATGGAGATCTTCAGAAGATCTCCATCCACTCTCCAGCAGATGAGTATAGATATATGAGGAACCTGCCCAAATCACGGCAGAGCAGCTTATAAAGAGAAGAAGCAACAATTTAATTCTTTGTTTTTACAAATCACAGCAGAAAGATATTCCATGATCTTATATAAATGACCATGAACAGTGCCCAATCCTGGCACTTAGAGTGCAAAGATGTAAGACTAGAAAATTGTGATTTGTGTCACAAATGATCTCACAAAAGGGGCAGGGCAAATTAGCCTTACAGAAAGTTCTACTGTGGTCCAAAATTAACAAACCTTCAAAAGCCATCCTCCTAGAGGATCAAACTATTCCTAAGAACAAAGAATCCAAGAATCAAGCACAAGAATGCGTATAGATAATCAA